ATGAAAGAAAATGTTTTTCTCCCTGAGTCTGGCCTTCATAATTCCATTCCATCACACTATCTGCCCACCTAACAAAAAAGTGACAGACCAAGTCTCAGGTGATATACAGCATTCTATAAAGTTAGAGTAGATAGTAGGAAGCAAGGTAAAGTAAATCAGTGTTTTATGACTGGCAGACCACTATGGAAGCCATATTGTGATTGTGCTGATAATATACCCTCCACGTTAAAAATGTGGCTACCTCCCTAAAAGTTTGATAACTTCTGAAAGTAAGCAGCAAGAATTCCAAGGTGGAGTAGGAAGACATGAGGTAGGATGATTGTTGCAGGTGCCATAAATCTGAGATGAAAGCAGCTAATGTTTCATTCTGGGGTGGAAGCAGGAGTTCTTATAGGAACTTCCAAGATAAGGATGATCTTACAGTTGGAAAGAAATTCTGAATGCACAAATAGTAGGCTTACTATCCTATGGCTTTGGGTGGTGTAATATTTAGCAGTTTTTGCTTTTGTTTGAGAAAGAAAACTAAAGGCTCCAGACCCATCCCTGGAGAGTAATGAATACAAAATGTTATGCAATGTAAATGTTATTTTAAAAATGCAGCACTTCATATCATTAATGCTTCTTGTAGAGGTCATGAGCACTGAGCATTTCTTGACCTTGCTTGTCCAGTGTAGATTTTCATTGTCCCCAAAACAAAACATTTAAAAAATAGTTGCATAGATGGACATGGTTCTTGATGCATTTTAAAGGAGAACTTTACACTACTTAGTAGATATTGCCCAGAACATTTTTTTTATGACACTTTTGTCTGTTATGATCCTTTGATTTAAGTTCTACTGAACACTTTCTTAACTCACATGTTCTTTCTTTGCCCAGATATATAGCTTTTGATTTTCATAAAGAATGCAGTCATATGAGATGGGATCGACTCCATATTTTACTGGATCAACTTGCTGAACAACAAGATGAATATGGGTAATATATGCAACTGAAGTATATCATTGTGAATAGCTGAAGCTGCCTAATAACAGCATATGCCTGATGTACCTGCTTTCTGCCAGAAAAACGCTGGATTGCTTTCGTAATGTATGATGATCTGAGCAGACAGCAGTATAGTCTGTAATACAAAATCCATGTGTTGTTATTGACAGAGTGCATATCCAATTGAATTTGCATAGGATTGTAATCCAGAAGATATCATGTATCTTCTCTTTCTCATTCTATGTAAGAGTGCAAAGATTTGGCTGGGCCTTTCTCATATATTGTATTGTTGACTGAATGTACAGCTAACCTTGGATATATTTGAATGTGTAAGTAGAAGTGATTGTAAGAAAGTCAGCAAATTTCATTATCTTGTTTTAATTTACTGAAAATATTAGTATTTCCAAAAATATAAACAACTGGAAACATGCATTAAACTACTGTTCTAATGTGAGAACAAGTCTGGCAGAAAAGGCATGCTGTGGGTCTCGTCTGCCAGGGAATTACATTTGGCGGGTCCCAGGAGGCAGGCCTTCTCTGTCGTGGCACCCACATTGTGGAATCTTCTCCCTGCAGAAGTGAGATTAGCTCCATCCCTCTTAACATTCTGCAAGTCCCTCAAGACCTGGCTGTGTGATCAGGCCTGGGGCTCCCAGGGGACTGGGGAGATTTTGTGATGGCTCCCTTATTAATATTATCCCCTCCTGTTTTGGGTGCTTCTGTAGTTTTTTACTTGTAACTGTTTTTTATGTATTTATTCTTTTTAATTCTTGTACACTGCCCAGAATCACTTTATGTGAGATGGGTGGCTATATAAATGCGATAAAATAAAAAAATAAAAAAATAAAAAATATCTTAAACCAAGGAGCTCTTGATAAAGGGAGCTTTTTGTCTTTAAACTTTATGTTACCCTTCTGTGAGTTGTCTGTGGTTTCAAATGTAGTCAGGTCTAATCCTTTCCATTGCTATTAGCAAGACACCATGGATATTCCTTTGGCAGACAAAAGGTTGAGGACCAGCTAAAATCAACTGACATTTTTTATTAAACACCAGGCAGTGGCAGAAATCAATATTTCTTTGTTTTGGTTCTGTGGATGCATTAGCAAAACATAAAGCAGTATTTTGTGAACTCTTGCACAAAATAATAAGCTTTCCATTTTGTTACTCAGCTATTTTCTAGTTGATGCAGAAGGGAAGGTGATGATGCAACAAGAAGGAATATTCCGCAGCAACTGTATGGATTGCCTGGACCGAACAAATGTGGTTCAGAGCCTTTTAGCACGCCGTTCTCTACAAGCACAACTGCAGGTTAAGATTGCCTTCTGTATAAGGACATGTTGCTGGTATTTTAGGAATTTAAGTATGTAATAACTCTAATAGCCATTTGGTATATAAGATGTATCATTCCTGAAAGTGTTATATTGAAACGTGCAAATATGCTTCTGTGCATGGGTGTTTTCTGAAGTTCTAATTTCCATGCTTTTAAAATCTTAGCAGGATTCTCATTTAATAGTAAATAATGGTCTTTTTTGTCATTATAGAGATTAGGTGTTTTGCACGTTGGCCAGAGACTTGAAGAACAAGCAGAATTTGAGAAAATTTATAAAAATGGTAGGTTTTTGTTTTGATAAGTAAAACAAAACAAATCCTGTGTTCTACTTACTTGCTATCTCTTTTTTACAAAACACTGTTCTCTGTTCATAGCATGGGCTGATAACGCAAATGCTTGTGCCAAACAATATGCTGGAACGGGTGCCTTAAAGACAGACTACACCAGGCAAGTTTGAGCCAGCCTTTCTTGACCAAAAATGTATTGATGCAATTTCAGGAACAATATTTAGAGATTGTTCAGTTACTGATTTATTAAACTCACTATCGTAGTTGCTGTACAAGACAGTGCAATGGTTAACAGTTATATCAGTGGAAAAACTTGAATTAGAATGAGTATACTTTGTCTAACCAGCCTAATAAGTGTCTTAAAGCAGCTTATGGCAACTAATGATTACTAATAAAAGCGGAAAAAAGATCCAGAAAAAAAGAATCTTAGTAAAATTGGTCTTATTGCTAGTCAATCTGTAGATAGTTTTTACCACAGAGTTGACATTTGAATGGCTAAAAACTTTTTTTCAGGATTCTTACTTCTACTCTTAGTCATTCTTCTTGTTTAAACCATCACTGGAAATGTAATGTTTGTTAACTTGAGAAGGTATTGTTTATACAGCAGCTGCTAAACAGCTAAATTCCTGCATCAGTGTAGGAATACCAACATAATAAGGATTTCTGGATACCTTTTGCATAGACAAGGATGAACTATCACAAAGTCAGCACCAGTATCTAGGCTATTGGTATAAATCTGCAAGAAGAGGAAGATAACCTTCTGAAAGGGCCTATTAGAATTTTCAGGGGCTTTCTCTGGAGTCTTTTGGTTTCTTCTTTGATTGAGGGCAGTGAAGAAAAATTCTCTGAGCTGCAAAAGCAACTACAGTTTAAATAGCCTAAAAGACTCAATTTGTCCTTTTAATCATGGGGTTAACATCAAGACCTGCTGGAAGAGCAATATGAAATGAAATTAATAATACATGCACCTCACCTGCATATTTGCAAAATAAGTGGATGCAAGGAACTTCGATATGGTTCAGTTTCTAATATGTAAGTACTTGATGCTAAATTTCTGACTTTTTGAGAGATCTTCTGTATTAATATTGAAATCTTATTTTCAAAAATTCAGAACTGGAAAGAGAACGCAGTGGGGCCTGTTAATGGATGGTTGGAACTCGCTAATTCGTTACTATAAAAACAACTTCTCTGATGGATTTAGACAGGTAATAACTTCCCAGATTTGACATTGCCATTTGTTGCATTTATTTAGCTTTAGCTGTTGAATTTAAAGGAATGTGATCAGTGTGCTCAGGGATATGTACTATGCTGCTGCTTCATTAAATTGTCACAAATTGGGCTGGATTTTGAAGACTGTGAAGTACTTTGGGGGGGGGGGAACAGTTAAGATGACATGGCATTTAATTTATACTCTGGATTGTTTTTCAGGATGCTATAGATCTCTTTCTTGGAAATTATTCAGTGGATGAAGTAGATTCTCTCAGTCCTCTTCATGTACAGAAAGATTGGAAGTTTTTGGCTGTAAGGATTTTATAAATGTTTTGCTATTTGTATATATTTTTAAAAGCATTACTGAATTTGGTTAGATTAATGAAGTTTTGGGATTACAGGTCTTTTAGCACCTCCAAATGGTGTCTGATAAAATGTAGGACATCTTTCAGGATATAAATATTCCTTGTAAAGGAGAATACCAAGGATTTGTTAAATGAGTCTCATTATTTTTCCCAAAGGTTGAGAATTATATAGTTGGCAAATCAAACAGCTTTGGAGATGAGCTTTAAGTCTTGCAGTAGCCCAGTTCAGGCTGCCATATCTTGGCCCACTTGGTGCCTCTTTACTGCTTTCTATTCTGTCAACCCCCAAACCCTGGCCAATGGCTTCCAAACAGGACAAGGTTTGAAAGCAAGTTTAAAACTGTGGCTTTACATCTTGGTTTATTTGGAAGCTTTTAGCTGTAATTTTCATGGGCTGTACTGGAGAGATTGAAAAGGGGTGAGTTGGTTGTCATAGCTTTGTACTTTTATTATATGTACTGTGTGGTCTTGTAATGGTTAAGCATAACAAGTGGAATTGCAGAAGTGATTTTAAATTTTAAAAAGGGATTAATGCACCGAATGCAGCTTCCCCCCCCCAGCGTTTTTGCTGTTCATGGTTATGAGAGATTAGAAATAAATTTTAAAAAGGGATTAATGCACCGAATGCAGCTTCCCCCCCCCAGCGTTTTTGCTGTTCATGGTTATGAGAGATTAGAAATAAATTTTAAAAAGGGATTAATGCACCGAATGCAGCTTCCCCCCCCCAGCGTTTTTGCTGTTCATGGTTATGAGAGATTAGAAAAAGAAATGTAAATTAATAATTGGATTTTTTTGTTTAGTCATTAATTTCTGCATGCAGTAAGGGAAAGTTTATGGGCCAGAAAGCTGCACTTAGGATTGTGGGAAGTAATGATTCAGCAGCCTTTCAGTTTGTGCTTTTAATAAGCTTAATAGAAAAAGCAGAAATAAAATCAAAGGAGTATAGCAAGGCAGGCAAACTTTTTGTAGTCAAGTTCCCCATATTTTTTTCTAAATGCCTACTGAAGACAGCTGGGAAGTGACCGTGGACAATGTTCATGCCTTTTT